AATTTATTGAAACTAACCTGGAAAAAAACAAATATGAAAGTCAATTAAAATATAAAAAGGGAGATAAAGTTCTTTAATTGGTGCCTTGAGTGTATTTATTTAGTGGTTCATTTATATAATTCTGCTTTTATTTCTAATTATGTCAGTTTTGGTCCTCCATACTGCAGAAGCCTGATAATCATATATTCATTCAAATCAGGTGTGTTGGAGCAGAGAAACAAGTAAAAAATGCAGAGCTGCGGCCCTCCAGGACCAGGATTGCCCACCCCTGTTCTAAACCATTAAGAGTCTCCCATTCTATTATTATTATTATTATTCTATTATTATTATTATATTTATCCATTTATTTTTCAGGTGAGCGGACAGATGTTGGGTGTGTGGTCCTGTGTTTTGTTGGTGTATATTTAATATACTCCTAATCGCTATTTCAGTCTTTCTATCTTTCTAATTACTTCTCTCTCTGTAAAAAAAAAAAGAGTCTCCCATTCTACTGAGAAAGATTCACATGTGAAAAACATTTAGGTCAGCTGCCATTCTTACCAGAACTTGATGACCCAGAAAAATTCACCCCAAGATCAAACTGTGCAATGCTCAGAGAAACTACCTCCATCTCAGGAACAATCCTTGCCTCTGAATGCCCAATCTGTTGTTAACATCTCAAAGCAAATCAGAGTCAGAAACTCAGACACTGACTGCATTCTCCAGAGAAAATTTGAGTATTCTTCTGATCAGCTTCATATTTGTAAAAGGATAAACATGGCTGCTACCTGCTGCAGCTCCTGCTCTCTGTGTTTGTGTCTCAGCTCCATGTTGAAGATCTTCTTTTCCAGCTCACACAGGAGCCTCGCCTCAGAACTCTGAGCGTCCTTGGCTTCCTTCAGCTCCTGCAGCAGCTTCGTTAGCTGTACAAGATAAGGGACGCAGTGTTGAAATCAAATGAAAATGCTACAAATTCAAATACTAAAGTAAAACACGATAACTGAAATACAGAAAACTCCTGAAGACATTTTGTCAGTGGCTGTTCTTTAGCGCACACATTTAAATCCACCCAGAATCTCTGCCCTCCTTTTTATGACCTCTACGTTGCCACTATATCCATTCCTCAGATCTCTCCACCTCAGTGTTCCTTTTGTCCACCTCACCACCAAGGGTCCACAGCCCTGGAACTCACTACCACCAAAAAACAGAGACCCTCTGCCTCTCGATCAGACTAAAATCCACCTGTTCAGGATTGCTTATCAAAGTTGATTAGAATTCTCCCCATCTTGTCCTTTTGCCTCTTTGTCAGCATTTTGATGTTTATGTGTGCATATTTTAGCGTTTGAATGTTTTTATTTGTATGTGTTGCTTGCGGAGCGTCAGAAAGAAGCAGCTAAATAAAATGCACATGAAAGCTACTCACCTGTTTCTGCAGAGTGTCTTCTTTACTTTGGGATATTATGAGGGCCTCTTTACATCCCTGTAGTTCTTTCAGCTGCTCTTGCAAATGTTTCATTGCAATCTGTAGGAGTATATTGAAGTTGAAAGGACAGAGTTTCTTTGGATCTCACTGCTGGCAAGAAGCTGAATGGTCAGTAAGCTCCTACCTCCTTACTGTTGAGCTCATTTGTCAGTTCTGCAACCTTTGAGGATGAGTGCTCCAGGGCGTGAGTGGCATGCAGATGGTCCAGCACCCTGAGGTGTTCCTTCCTCATCGATGACAGCTGCTCTGCACAACACTCCTTCAGCCTAATGTGACACATTACTGACTGTTGGGTTTCCACATTTATTTTGTACACAAATTAAACCTCTTTTGTCCATTAATACTTTGTCTCTTACCAGATTTCTTTAAAGATCCAGTATAATGAGTTACAAAAACATTTAATTTCCATTTGGGAATATTATTCATATTGTTACTCAAACATTTTTACCTCAACCAACTACTTACTATCTTACTAACTCTATAAAAACTCTGCACATAGTGAGGAGGGTTAGGAAAGGTTGTGGGAACTATCACCCTGTGTGAAGGGGGACTTAAATAGTTTTAAAGGGATCCCCAATTAGTTGTAACATTAGCCTTTATTTGACAAACATGTATTTTAACTGTAAAATAAAGACTGTAACAATACTGTAGGCTGTTTAGTTTTTATAATTTTTAAACTAAAAGTTTAAAAATATATTTCACGGACAGGGCCATTTTATTTACATGTAAAGCGTTCTGGGTAAATGATGACGTGGATAGGTCCTTGGTGCAAGGCTGCTAGTGAGATATATCCACCCTGAAGTTTAATCTTGGACAATATCTGATGATYGACTCTTTTAAATGAAACCAGAGAGCGTTGACAGAGAGGAGAAGGTAGAAATGACTCAGCCTGGAACTGAAAATATRGATGGAGGACAACAGAGCTGCTTCATGGAAGAAGAACCTCAGCTTAGCCTGTTAGCTTTAGAGTTAGCCCCGATGCTATCACCATATATATGTATTAGCTCAGTGCTACACATTCTCCTCTCATCACTGAGGTCCTCCATCCACATGACAGAGAGGGGAACGCAAAAATGACTCAGCCTGCAACTGAAAATATGGATGGATAGCTTGTTTGTCGCGCTAGCGCCGAGCTAATACATATAAGGCAATATAGCATCAGTACTAGCACAAAGGCTAACAGGCTAAGCTGAGGTTCTTCTTCCATGAAGCAGCTCTGTTGTCCTCCATCCATATTTTCAGTTCCAGGCTGAGTCATTTCTACCTTCTCCTCTCTGTCAACGCTCTCTGGTTTCATTTAAAAGAGTCGATCGTCAGATATTGTCCAAGATTAACCTTCAGGGTGGATATAGCTCGCTAGCAGTCATGCACCGATTACCTAGTTGATGTCATCATTTACCCAGAATACTTTTCGTGTAAATAAAATGGCTCCATCCATGTTAAAATTTATTTTAAAAAAATAACTAATCTAAACAACCTACAGTATTTTTACAGTCTTTATTTTACAGTTAAAATAAAAGTTTATCAAATAAAGTCTTATGTTGCAACTAATCGGGGATCCCTTTAAAGGATGCACATTACTTGCTCAGCTCCTCCTCTGCTCGCACAGCTTCTGCCTGCAGCACCTCCTTCTCCTGTTTCCTGTGCAGCTGGAGCAGCTCCACCTGCTGCTTCAAAGCCTCGTTCTGCTGCAGGACCTCAGAGATATGACTTCCTGTCAGAGGAAGAAAGAGGAAATGCAAAGATGATGGATTAAAAATCTTGGAGAAATGTTTTATTTACATCACTGAAGCAATGTGGCTTCTTACAAATCAGAGAAAATAATAATAATATCACTGATTTATATCTGTCAGTTGTTCTGTCGCATCACAGTAGCAGTAGTTATGGGTGGACAACATTAATCAACCTTGTAACATTCTGTTGAAGGTGATTTGTTGGAAACACAAACAACACTCGATGAGTAATTCATTAAGTACATTCAATGTATTCTGAAGTTTCTTTAGTTCGATATCAAAAATGACAGTTTTTCATATATTGAATTCAAATTTCAACAGTGATTTTTGAGCACTGTCATTCAATTCACAAGGAGTTGAGCTTTTCCCCCTGGTCATCTTAAACTCTAGAGTGAACAGTGTGTTTATGTGTCCAACATAAGAAAAACAGCTTCATTTACGTTGGCGAGCTCTCAGAGTTTCAAGTTTATGCTATTCAGTTGGACTCCATCTAACCTAGACCGAATCTTTAGCTTTATTAGAGTAGTAGAAAATCGTTGTCAAAGTGGGTCTTCAGATCAAATATTTTTGATTAAAAAGATGAAAGGATGGATTTCTTGTTTTTATGTCTTTAATAAATTAAAATTTGTTTCATGTGCCTACTTTTTTCAGTTGTGTCAAAGTTATTTTGTTTCCACAATAAAACCTATTTTGCACCCTTAAGTTTTTAGTTGTGTACATTAAAAATACAAACCTCCCACAATTTCTATTAAGTGTCACATTGCAAAGCAAAAAAAACATTAAGTAATATAAAGCTGAGATGGAGGAATAACTTTGCCACCCGCTGCGCTTGTTTGCTTCCATTAATTGCTGAATAATTGAGGGGAAGCATTATGCAGGGAGTAACTCTGCAGTATGAATGCTGTGACGATTGATTTTACCTACATTTGCTTAAGAAGTTGCAACACAGCGAGCACTAGCTGTAAGTTAAATGTAACAAACACAAACCTAGAACAGCCAAAGGTTAGCTTAAAAGGTAAAAGTGGCAAAACTCTAGCTAAAAACTAAAAGTAGCGTAAGGACAATAAAAACAGGGCAAGTATGCTGAAGATTTAAAAGATAATGTTATTAAAGAAATTTCTGGGAAAAATAAAGTTATATATTTTTAAAAGGTACAAAAGAGACAAAAACATAACACTTAATGAGTTGAACATTTTGATACATTAATGGCCAAAACAGCAGTAAGTATGCAGTAGAAGTTAGATTGTGATAAATGTAATTTAGGACATGAGCAGCTTCAGGTAAACAGAATCATCTACATCAAAGTGAAAGAGAAATAAGAGTAGAAGCTCAGGAACTAACCGTGCAACCTGATGCTCTGTTAGTACATAAAATGATGCAGAGAGAAGATTCAAACCTGTAAAGACCATCGGCTGGTAGGTCTTTTCACACTGTGCAGCAGGAAACGATTCTCCCTCTGGGACAGTGGAACAGACGGTTCTGGTCTGGACCTGGCGCTGTTTGGTGTGTGCAGAACTGGGTTCTGGTCTTGATGCAAACAACATGTTTCTCCTTTCTTTCTGCAGTCTCTCCACAGTGCGGCTCAGCTCCTGAATACGTTTCGTCTTGGAGGCAAGCTCTTGGTTTAGGCGTTCTATTCGCGCGCCAAATGCGGCCTCGGCTTGGCGCTGGTGTCGACCCGGACTTGGCTGCTCCTGCATTAAGAGAGGTTCTGTTTATAGAAAGGGAAGATTTACTTCTCTGTTGTTCTCTTTGCTAAATCACATCCAGTTATCTTTGACATGTTCTTCTTTTGTAAAGTTTCTGTCAGGGGAGTAATGCTGCGTTCACACCGAACGCGATTTCAGCTTCAAAATCGCAGCCAACGCTGAAGTTGGTCACTTGTGCACTTTGAGGTCAGACGTAGGTCAACTCTTGAAGCGCTGCACGGCAAGAGCCTCCCCGCCCCTCCCTCCTCTGTCGGGCTCTGTTTAATGTCGGACGAGGAAGTGGCTTTGCTTTATTTACAGAGAGCAAGAGCATGTCACGTTCATCAGATAATTAATTCACCAGATAATTCAGAGACATTCTGAGTTTCATCACCCAGGAGCTGCGGGAGAGGCTCACAGCTCGCTTTCAGGACTATTTTTGTCCCGAGTCCAGTCTGATGAGCCGCTGCCACGCATTGGTGAGGATTTCTCCTGTCAGGACAACGACTGCAGGCACTCGATTTCAGCTAAAGAGCTCCTCTCCATCTGTTTCAGGTTAGTGGACATCATTCAGTAAACTGTCCCGTCGGGAAATATGTCGCTACGTCACACAGTGGAGTCTCTCTGATTGGTTGACGAGGCGCATCGAGCTGCAAAAGTTCAGATTTTCTAACTTCAGCGATTTGCGCCTCAGCGCGTCGAACGCTTAGATCATTCAAATTGTTCAAATTGCGCTGCTCTAGTCGTGCTTGAGGCGCCGCAGCCCTTCCCGACACTGATTGAAGCGAGTCCACCATAGACGTTGTATGTAAACCTGATGCTCCTGATGCTGAAATCGCATTTGGTGTGAACGCACCATAACTTTGAGAAGTCTTGTACTGACCTTGTTTTTGAGCTGCTGCTGCTGAAGAGACTCAATCTGATCACGGAGGTATTTCTCTGTTTCCTGGTGGCTGTCTTGTACATGCTGCAGCTTTTCTTCCAGAGACTGACACCTAGATTTCCATGGTTCTGATCCAGGTTCTGCTACAGTCAGCTGCTGCTCCAGCTCAGAGATCTGCTGCTCGTAGCGAAGCTTCAGGACACACACACACAATTTAGGTACAAGAAAATATGATTTAAATGTCCTTGGTATACGTTTCCTATTAACTAATAATCATAGGACTTACTGGAGCATTCCTTGCAATATTACATCAGGTGTACTTTAAATTGATCAAATAAGACCTGAGAGTAGGAATAATGCCTAACTTGTACTGAAAACAACTGTGCTGATGTTAAATGTGATAAATGTTGGTACATCCCTCATTATAGATGCAACAATGCCTAGCATTAGTCTCTAGGCGTGCCATTGCATCTCTTATTAGGTTGCTTTGACACCAACGTGCACATTGCAAACAGATTTCCCTCTCTATGAATGTGTGTTTATCAATATCAATATCAATCAATCAATAAGTTTATTCACTCAATTCAACAATTTTCCTCATTATAACATAAACACATTTTCGTTTAACACATACTATGCATGAGTGAAAAGGGAGCAGGAAGAAGAAAAACCTTGTATAAACCTGCTCCTTTCTCAATAATTACAATCATTTTTCATGGCCACATACATTAAATCACAAATATAATCTGCAAACAATATATCGTTCTCCTCATTAACTCAAAAGTGTATAAGACTTAACAATTTTTTCCTTATAAAGTATTTTAAATTGATTTAAAGTAGAACATTTTTTCAAAGAGTCATCCAAACTATTCCATAATTTTACCCCATAAACTGAAATTCACATTTGCTTTAAAGTAGTACGCACAGTTTTACTTTTAAAATCATATTTTCTTCGGCTATTTCATTTAAATGTGTCTAAATTGTGCAAGCACAGACACACTGTAAAAAATGAAATGTTGGATTTACTTAACCATGTTATGTTACCTGGTTCCACTTAACTGAGTTGAGTAAATTCAAAGCAACATACCAGTTTTTTAGCCAAAGAACATGAGAATGTTGCTTTGAATTTACTCAACTCAGTTAAGTGGAACCAGGTAACATAACATGGTTAAGTAAATCCAACATTTCATTTTTAGAGTGCATGCAGTATTACTGGCAGCACAGTTTTAGCAAACATCTCCCTCTGAGAAGTCAATTAATGGACAAAAATCCAAATTTGTGTCGACAAATTCAGGCCTAAAAGTGGTTCACTTGTTCCATTGACAACTTGCTGTAAAACCACTGAACTTCCTCCATAACATAACTTAGAAAATAGTAACATAAATTGTTCTTACAAACAGTTTTTTTTACAAATACAGTTTGGTTAATCCAGTGCTGATGAGCTTTTTCACACCAAAAACCTATCTAGTTTCAGCCTTCAGTAGTACTCCGTTATCACACCAACTCAATAACAAAAGAAGGTCTTTGAAGTGATTCTAAAATGTGTTTAATAAACTTCCCCTTCCTGTTTGTTGTGTTAAAACCCGGCACTGGTCTCAGTTATACCTTGATCCTGTGGAACTGTTGCTCCATGGCCTGCAGGCTGCGTTTTGCCTCTTCATCATGACTCTCCAGTTCAGCCTCCAGACGCTGGATTCTGGCTTCCAGCAGAGCATTGATGCTGCTGGGTTCAGCGTTGCCATTGCTAACATCTGTGGCTGCTGCATAAATCAAAGCAGGCAGCGAGTTTGGGTTTCTGGTTCTCAGGATCTGCTTAAGTTCCTGCACCTGTCGCAAACAAAAGACTTGTAAGGTAACGGAGGCACAAGTTAACTGGTAGACTTGCTCGTTGCTGTGGGAGAAACCTGTCGCTCCAGGTCCTTGATTCTCTGTGTGTCTGCAGATCTGTCTCTGGCCTTTCTTTGTTGCTCGTTACTTCTTTTGACCACCTCCTTCTTCAGGTTTTCTACCTGAAATGGAAACAGACCGTTATTTTCACAACGGTGCTTTGTGAAAAAACACAGAACTGGCATCCAGCACATGTACAGTGGATATAAAAGTCTGCACCTGCCTGGTAAGAAATAAATAAAGAAATAAACCATGGATTACATTACAACAATTACATTTCAAACTTTTCCCAAATGTGCTGTGACACCATGAACAATCCACAGGGTTCCCACACCTTGGTCAACATCAAATTCAAGGACCTTTCAAGGACTTTCCAGTACCAATTTCGTGCGACGGCAATTACTTACTGCTACCACAGAATGTTACAAATAAACAGTTTTAATATCATGTAAATTCAACGAAAATCTGGGACCCAATGAAAGAAAGTGGATTAAATGTACACCCTACATTCATATCTACAATACATGGACATGTAATTATGTCCTGACAGGTTCGGCAGCTCACTTTGGGAGGAGGGGATGTGAACATGTCCAGACCCTCAGTGAGGACAGGAGGAGCTGTGGTGCTCTCACCTGGGCTCAGAAAGAATGACCTGCTCTGCTCTGATTGGTTAAAACTAGGACTACGGCTCACGTTATTTGTTGAAATTTGCCACGTCAGTTTACCGTAATCCTGAGTTATTCACTGCAACAAATGTATGTTTTTTATTTATTTATTTATTTATTTATTTTTACAGATAATGAAAATCAGTCGTGTGAATAGAGAACTTCAATCCCCAAAAAACATTCAAGAATTTTCAAGGACAAGTGTAATTTTTGGCTGTTTTCACAAACTTTCCAGGGCCTTGAATTTTTTTCAAATTCACAAACTTTCAAGGATTTCAAGGACCCGTGGGAACCCTGAATCCAACTGAAAAACATGAGATCCTTTCACTAGAACTAAGCGGCCAAACCAAACTCCTGAAAAAAAAACTCCATACAATAATCCCCCCTCCACTGTCATAATACCACTAATAGTTGACTATTTAGTATTAGGTAATAAAGGTAATTTCATGATCAGACTTACTGCACTGTTGATATCCTATTTATTATCTGTTAGCAAATTAAAAACCCATTTAAATTCCAGGGTGTAGATGCCAAAACAAAAAGAATAAACAAGGATGAATACCTGTTGCAAGGCACTGTATAATAAATCTATTAAGTTGTCGATCTGAGCCGTATATTTACGGTAATTATCAAGCTAAAATTCTACAAAATCAATGTGAATTTTCTGAACATCCAAACTCATCTCTTACTACTTTCTGGTTAGTCGTCTCCAACTTTTTGTCAGATAACCAGAAGAAATCTACTAATGTTTTGTTTATACCTTTATATACTGAAGAGTCAAGTACTTACGCAGAAATATGGGTCAGTGAGTCAACAGTAAATCAGAGAGGAGTATGACCTGTTCTTTGAGCTGAAGTATCTCAACTGTAGCAGCCTTCAGTCGGACAACATCCTGGTCCAGCAGTTCCTGGTTCTTAGAAAACCACTGTAGCTTCTTCTTCAGCGCTGCCACTTCCTCTCTGTGTCTGTCCTCCAGAACATGCAGCTCCAGAGTTTGTTCTTCGAAAACACAACACAACAATTTGTTGTGTGTAATTATTTTTAGGTTGCAGGACGTCACGCAGGAATGACTAAAAGATACTGATAATCATTTAGTACACGTCTAAACAGGAACAGGTTTCTCAACTCTCACATCCATGAAGTCAATCTGTTATAAGTGAAGAACTCCCTGTAATCTGGTCAAACACGTCTGCAGCCTGTCTACCTGAGGCAGGAGTAGTCTGGTCTTTAGCCGCCTCTCTCTCCTTCTTCATCATGTCGACTTCCAGAAGCTGCTTCTCTTGCTTCAGCCTCTGGTTCTCCTGAGACAGCTTGGCCTCGTTCCTCTACACACACAAACAAGTCTGTGGTAACTGGCAGAGCAAAGCCACCAGCTCCTCTGTAAGCTCGTTACAAACCTGCAGTGAGTGGATTTGAGATAACAGGTCTGAGATGGACTGAGTGTGATTCATCATACACACACTGCCTACGGGCCGTGAAGCTTCCTTCAGCATTTCCCTGGTGAGTATAAAACAGATGCTGATTCTAAATTAACAGAAAAGAATATTTTCTAAGTCCCGGCTCTGATAAGTGTTTAACACACCGTGTAAAATCCAGCTCGTTCATCAGCCTCTGGGTTTCATTAAACATGGCCTCCTCAGTAGCTTTACTCTTGGCTTGCTGAGCCTTCATCTGCAGGCACATCTTCTCATTCTCCTGTAAAACATCTTCTGTTTACTGACTTTTTACCATACAAAGATTCAAGATGATGACAAAACAGCTAAAAAGGTTAGAGAGAAAATCATCAGTAAACATCAGTTATTATCATCCAATGCCAAAAGGCCAAATTAGAAAATATTTTTTACTTGTTTACATGTAGCTGCCAAATACCTCAAGCACCAGTGCACGGATTCAAATAAAACTATAATAAATAATTGGATAGAAAACTGAACAACTTTTGAAGTCAACCCTATTTATAATAATAATAATAATAATGTTTTAAATCATCATCGAGCCATGGAGTGTTTAATTTACACACTGTATACTTCTTTAAAGGTGCATGCTTGTTCACAGTGGTAATAACTTATTAAATATCTGAAATGCATCTTCAGGATCTTTCTGTGCAAACACTCTGCCCAGTCAACACTCTGCCCAGTCAACACTCTGCCCAGTCGCGGGGCGGCTGTGGCCGAGTGGTTAAGAGAGTCGACTTCTAAATCTGAGAGTTGGTGGTTCGATTTCCCCATTATTCAGTCACATGTCGAAGTGTTCCTGGGTGAGACCCTGAACCCTCTCTGCCACAGATGTGTTCCATCAGTGTATGAATGTGATTTAAAGCACTGAATAGTCTCAATAGATTGATGAAGCCCTTTGAGTATCCTGGTTGGATCTTGATAAATGGACTGTACTATAGAAGTACAGTCCATTTACCATTTTTAATACTGTCTACATGTTTGTCAAGACTATAATTTTTGAATGTTCTTTTTCAGATGATTTTTGGAGCAATTCTAGGAATTTTCGTATTTCTTATGTAGGGTCTGAAAAAAGTCCACTTATCAAGATAAAAAGAGAAGAGGCAATCCTTGGCCAGCCAGAGGGAGTTTTAATTGAGTTCAGTCAGTAACAGCCTCAACCGACAGAGATCAGACCTTGCAAACCGAACTGACGCAGTTAGAAAACCATAAGCTTTTATACCACGTTATCTTTGCCAGAAAAAAGGGTGGGCTATTTCCCAGAAATGGGTGGAAATATGACACCACCCAATAGAACCCCTTATGATGTCAACTTTTCCAGGATATTACACAAGATGTTTTCGTGACCTCTATTCTGACCTATTGTTCTCAAAGTTACTGCTAAGCCTCAACAATCCTCCCTTTTTGAGTAAAACTCAAACTAAAGCTAACCATTTTTATTTCATAGTGCTGCATGCATAATAATAGTGAAGATAATAAACCCTATCATGATACCTTTAATATATATATATAGCATAACTTGCTAAATAAAATAAACTACTCTAAGTGTACAGTGAGTAAGCTAAATACTGTGTTTAAAGCTTAAAGGTGTCCTGGACTTATCTTACCTAAGTTTCATCCATGCAGGCAGTTGCTGCAGTCTACTGYTAACAAAATACGGTCAGTGAAACCCACAGGACGATTCAACAAAAATGCAATGGTATTTGAAGTTGCATTCTTAAGTTTTATCCAATTTTGTGTTTTGGATTGGACTGACACCAAAAATCCGTCAGGCGTAGCTGTATTGATTACATTTTAAGAGTTTTATTAAAATCTAGCCCGTGGGTTTCTGAGATATTTTACTAACACAACAGATGAAGAAATGTACAGCTCTTGCCTTTGACAATAGGCAATAAATACATTAAAACTAAAAACAGACATGACACCAGCTTAAAGACATATTACCTGCTGATAACCTTTGATAAGTCTTTCTTGCTCTTTTATTTCTTTATCAATTTCCTTCAGTTTCTCATCAGTTGCAAGACCTTCAATCTCCAAACGTCTCTTCTTCTGACCAAATTCCTCCACGCTTCGAATCTGTGAAGGAGAAAAACAAACAAAAACTATTTATTATTGTTCACAACTGACAACTACGCACATTTGTCGTCTGTATCAGAAAGTATCAGAACATTTTGTATTGGTAGTGGAAAAATCTTGAAGTTGGACCCTGATATGCAGTCACAATCATGACCCTTATTAAAGGAGTTTTTGATCTTGCTCAAAACGTTATGCTTTATCATACATACTATGTAATAAATTGCCCTATGGCAGGAGATTCTCTGCTTTCAGATGAAAAACCGACAGACAAATAAAAATATTTTTTCCTGCATGTCTTATTTATTGATAAAAACATTAAAAACATCCTACACACACAAGTTGGAACTCTGACAGAAATGCAGGACCTTCACAGTTTATGGGGTGCACAATAAGGTTGGGCATTTAGATGAATATTGTATATCGACTAATGCAGAGATTCTTAACCCATGGGCCGCTTGAGGGCCTCAAAAGAACAACAGATTTTAACTTTCGGCCGCAGAGGGCCGTGGGACCGCATTGATTTTGAATAAGGTGCAATACACTTTCTCACCACTAGTAGCAGTAGTGCGCCACTCAGAAGTTTAACAACTTTTTTAAAATGTAGAAAAAGAACCTTAGAAGCCTGTTTCAAATGAAAAGTAGAAGCAAAAATGAAAGTAACTCGTCAAAAAACACCAAAGTTTGTCACTAATATGAAGAGCAGCTTCTGGCTGCAAAAGTTTAAAAAGGCTATATTTTCA